GTTCCTGCCGATTGCACTTAAGCACCTCTCCAAAAATGGAGTTTCGTATGGCTGGGAGAATTTCCAAGAATAGACAATTTCTAATCCATCGTTGTCAATAGTGCCCGAAACCATTCAAAGCTTGACAGCTCACCTGGACCCATCTGTACATCTTTGACCCATTAAGGAAAATTACAAAAATACCATTGGCAATATATATATCATCTTTCCTTTATTCTTCAAGGGAGGAGATAGGAAACATAACAGATTTTCTACCTCTAGCTCACCTCATGCACCAGGCCTCCATTTTTCCTCTAAAAAAAATCCCTTCATCTTTAACTAACCATCTTGCCATTCTGCACGCTGAAAATCCCTCCAGAAACCACTATTCTTATTTGATTTCCTGCATCTCCAGCACCGTAGAGCATTTCCAACACCGTAGAACATTACCCAGCACTGCATAATATTTCTAGATTTGCAGAACAACATGGCTGAGAAGTAGCACGCTACAGTTTTAGTCTTCGGGTAGTTCTTCTTGAGCATCAAAGGATTAAACTACATGGTTAGCATCAAAGAATGGGATTAAGTATTCTACCCACAAATGTCCTCAAGCGGTCATCTTTCCTTCTTCCATCACCACTCTCACCACTCTTAAGTTTATCCTTTTTGTTCTTGAAGGTATTTTGAAAGGAGAACTGTTACATTTTTCATACCCAACATGAGAGCTATTCATTATAGGGTGAAAATGTTTACTAGAGATGATAGGGGTTTCATTTGGTGTCATTACTACTATGTCACAGTATTTTATGTGTAAAAACAATACTTAGGTTGTAACCCATGAACCTTCCATATATTTTTCGTTTCGTTACCTTTCCAGCCATGTACATCTTCTTCTTGTTGATTTTGATAGTTGTATGATCATCCTGAGTCTGTGAATCCTTGCCATTGTTGTTCAGCTCTATCAGCTTGGCTGAGAAATTTATATCCTTCAACTTTGCTGGAGAACTTGCTGTATGACGTCATTGCTGGGCAGGACAAGATGGCCTGTAGCATGTAGCCTTAAGCACATGAGATGGGTGCCACCAAAAGAACTTTTCTTAATTTCCTTTAGGTGTCATCCTAGTCAACCCCCTTCCCCTCCCCCCCACATCATCATCATTGCTGACTCGTCATCATACATCACTAGCGCACCCCAACACCTACAAAAAGAAAAATTTAGCAAAACAAGGGAAAATAAAATTAAGTACAACTAATATCACAAATTAGCAAAACAAAAATAAAATATAAAATTATAGACATGAAAACTGGAAATATAGTAAAAAATGGAAGAAATAAGTGGGAAGGGAAGAGAACAAAATAAGAAAAAGAGGAGGACTTGAGAAAAATGAAAAGAAGAAGGGAACAAAGGCATAGGAAATTAGAAGAGCAACATAAAGATGAGGGAAAGAAGAGATATTGGAAGCATGAGAGAAAGAAAAGAGGGAAACCAGATAGAAAACGAGGAGGAGAAGGAAAGTAGAGAAAAGGTAGACAAGAAAAATTAGTTGAGGAGGTAGCAGGCATGGAAATATATAAGTAAATTTATTTTGGACCATAATCAGTTTGGAATATATTAAATTGACATTTGGTGCTCCCAAAAAAAAGAACTGAATGCAAGGGAAATTTTTGGTGGTTTACTATTTTAGACCGCTATTGGTCTAGAAACTGTCAAAAATTTTAAAATTTTTGTTTTAAAATTTTTTACAGAAAAGATAGCAAAAATATTCAAACCAAAGTTGGTATGAAAAATAAAACCTAAAAAACATAGAAGAATGAAAAATATATTTAAGAAAAGAACAATAAAAAAAATAGAATATTATATTTGGACCATTGGTGGTTCAAATATGTTTTCTTGACTAATAACGGTTTGAATATATGCAGCAGAATCCTTTTATTTTTTTTTCCCCAAACCACGCTAGATTCATTCTACTCTCGTTCAAATAACATGCTTTAAAAGTCTTGAATGCCATAGAGTCTAACCTTAAAACTAGTAATACCAAGCCTACATGTTTGCGATTTAGGAACGATGTGGCATAACCTTAAAAGTAATGATCTTAATTCTAGCATTTTCGGTTTTGTAATGAGGTTGTATTGCACCATTGTGAAGCCATTTCAAGTGGCTAACTTATCATGTGTAGTGAATTGCATGGATCTGGTTTTGGTAGAAACAAAATCAGGGCTTATTTCAGTCAGATTGTCCTTAAATGAAAAGAATGAAAAAGTCTCAGAGCAAAAGCTTCTAGATTTTGGGCACCATATTTGAACCACTGTTGGTCCGAATATGTTTTCCTGACCAACAGTGGTCCAAATATGTGCAGCAGGATCCTTTGTTTTGTTTTTCCTTAAACCATGCTAGATTCGTTCTACTCCCATTCAAGCAACATGCTCTAAAAGTGTTGAATGCCATAGAATCTAACCTTAAAATTAGTAACACTAAGCCTACATGTTTGCAATTTAGGAACAACGTGACATAACCTTAAAAGTAATGATCTTAACTCTACACATTTCCAATTTTGTAATGATGTTGTGTTGCACCACCGTGAAGCCATTTCGAGTGACTAACTTATCATGTCGGGGTTAGAAGTGACTATAATAGTGAATTGCATGCATCTGGTTTTGGTAGAAATGGAATCGAGGCTCGTTTCAGTCAGATTGTCCTTAAATGAAAAGAATGAAAAAGCCTCAGAGTAGAAGCTTCTACATTCTGAGCACCATATTCGGACCACTGTTGGTCCAAATATGTTTTCTAGACCAATAGTGGTCTGAATATGTGTAGTAGATTCCCCCCCCCCCCCAAAACCATGCAAGATTCGTTCTACTTCTGTTCAAGCAACATACTTTAAAAGTCTTTAGTGCCATAAAATCTAGCTTTAAAATTAGAAATACTAAGCCTACATGTTTGCGGTTTAGGAACGGTTTGGCATAACCTTAAAAGTAATGATTTTAACTCGATGCGTTTGCAATTTTGCAATGATATTGCGTTCTACCTTTGTGAAGCTATTTTGAGCGACTAACTTATCGTGCCAAGGTTTGTAGCGACTATAGTAGTAGAATGCACACATCTGGTTTTGGTAAAATCAAAATCATGGCTCGTTTTGGTTGGATTGTCATTAAATGAAAAGAATGAAAAAGTCTTAGAGCAAAAGCTTCTAGATTCTGGGCATCATATTGGGACCACTGTTGGTCCAAATATGTTTTCTAGACCGACAATGGTCTAAATATGTGCAGTAGAATTCTTTTCTTTTTTTTTTTTTTTTT